GAGTTGCCCTCGAAACAGTTGAAATGATGCATGGCAGTCACTAAGGAAACAGATTATTCCATTAAGTTGTAAATTTAATTGCAACTGTTAATCAATCCCAGACCCTGTAATATTCATTATTCTGAATGTTTTTGTTTCGTTTTTCATCTCAATTTTTTAGGAAGCATTGGTGATTAATGGTAATGAATATATATCGAAACATTAAATGGGCACAAAATGCTATGGAATATAGATTTAATGCTTTTACTTCCTTTTTTTATTCTGTAAATTGTTTGAGAATTCTGTGTCTGTTCTGTTTTATTCTATGTTTATTCTGTCCTTTTTTTATTCTGTTCTCAATATTCTGTAAATCTGTTTTTTTTTCTGTATTCTGTGAGTTTTTCCTCCTAATTTTTTATTATGTGCTTTTTATTCCGAAAATTTTATTTCAACATTTTCTTCAAGCTCATATTTTTGCTAAATCATTAATTTTTTCTTATGAAAAAAAGTGTAATACATTTTTAGGGTTTCTTTATTGCACTTAATAGAAAACTTATCCTTTTTCATATATAGACTTACATTTAGAAAATTGCTGCTTATATTTAAATATCTTTAAACTTGCTTTAATTCAAAATTATTGAGCTTGATTCACAGAATGTTTCACCCAAAAAAGTTCTAAAAAAAAAATCTAGATATAAATTAAAATAAAACAAGGATATCATGCAAAATTTGAAATTTTATGTGAGCTTCAATTTTATTTATTGAAAATGTACGTTAGAAAAGGAAGGGGAGAGTGGAAAGTAGAAATGATTTGCTATCGGTGAGAAAAATAATGTGTGTGTTGGCATGGGCAAAGATTTACATTTTAAATTAACTTTTATAATCTGGAACAAAAAAAAAAGTCTACTGATGGAAAATTGGTAATTTTCAGAAACTACATTTTTCAATGAAATTTACTAAAAGTTCTCTGCTGGCTGGATTCTAGATGTCACCATTTAAATAATAATAATTGTGTCTTACTGCTAGAATGTAAAAAAAAAATCTTGTACTAAGCTATTATAGAACACAAAATGATNATATGTATATTATAATTAATATGAATTATTATTATTAATATGAACATTGTAAAAATTTTTTATTACTAGTTAAAAAATCTCTGGTACGTCGGATATATATGGTATATCAGCCCATGGAAGGCCAAGACTTACTGTGCCCTTTCCAGTTTTCTTCGGCTTTTGGTGCAGGACCAGATGTTCTGGTTGGGTGATCAGCCAAGTGTTGAACCACCAGTGTTTCATCCCTAAGTATGATTGGTACTTATTTTATTGACCCCTACACAAGATGAAAGGCTGAGTCAATCTTTCTCTAACCAAAATAGAACCCCTGACTTGTGGCTGCTCAAAGTGCTACCATTTAGCCACCAGGCCTCATGATACATTTGTAAAATTTTTAAAAGCGAAAGTTTTGAATTCTTAGGGTGATGTGCAAATGATTTTTTGTGGAACTTAGCAGATGAAGATGCAGTAGAATGTATTGAAGCAACATTGCTAGCGTTATTGATTACAACAAAGATTATGTTTTGGAATCTTTAAATCGTACTTTTATAGCATATTTTAAAAGTTTTCACTGCATTATATGTTTGAAATACTCTTAAATGAATTGTCTTAATTTATTTCTGACCGTAAATTAAAATATTGTTTCTAAAATTACTTTTATATGCAAAGAAAGTAGAATGAGAGGAAATGCAAAATTAATTGTATATAACATATTAAGAATACTTTTTGTAGGGGGTAATTTGATACAGAGTTATTCATATATCTTATTGTTTATAATGCATCGATATTTCACAATCTATGATTGCTCGACTTTACTAACGGTGTTTAAGTTGACCCCTTGATGTTCCTAAAATTTTTTGGGCTTGAAAAATTGACTTATACATTAAGATATACAATCACTCTTTTAGCAGTGTGTCTTATTAGCTCGTTATAAATAACAAACATTATTTCAAGTGTATTTTAAAAAATTCTGCTTAGATAGTTGCGTAAAAACCATAATTGCAAATGATTATTAGCCAGTAATTACAAACTTGAATTGGGTGGAAGCAGTACTTTTCTGAATTTCCTTCTAAAAGGATATGTCAATTGCTCTTAATTATTTTGACATAAGACCTGTCTATGCTTCACTTATCAAAAGTTGACAAAACTTCTGAACAGCCTATTTTTTGTAACTGTTGTAGGTTTATTGGAATATGAGTTACAATAGGGATATACTATTTGTTTGGGTGCACTGTGCGTTGAAGCTCTAATTTGTTTTGTTGTGTCCAGACTTTTCAATTAGTTAAGCTTTTTGTCAACAACCTTATTGTTAATATTGTTGTTATTTATCAATTTTATTGAAATAAAGTATGATAATTATGACTGCAATTAATATTTAATTAATATTTTGCTTTTTTTAATCTTAATAGTTCATGTTGCTGTATTTTCCTAATCCTTGATTGTTTTCCTAATTTTACTTCAAACTTGATTAATGGAATAAATTAAATAATATTTATTATGAAATACATAATTTTAAATGGTAAAATTTTTTATTAGGTTTCCTCTGTGATCAATAGGCCTATGTTTATATTAAACCCTGATTTTGCATCCTTTGGCTACACTATCACCAAAAAAAGAAAGAAAGAAGTAGTTTTTCTACATAATTAATTAGTCAGTTAATAACGAAATTTATTTTCGAAATAAACATGTCTCTTATTTAATAACAGAAGACCTTCCCCTACAATACTAAATGTTAGTATCAATAACTTCTGAAACTTTCACTTGATTTCTTTGAAAAAATTTAAAACAGTGTTCATGTACATTGAACCTTCCTTCGATTTTTTTAAAAATGAAATATCATATTTAAGAAAAAATGCCTTAAAAGTACTAAATACCTTATTGGAAAAAATTTTTTATGTGTGATGGAATGACATTAGAGCAAATGTTCAATGACAGCAAGCATTCAAACGTTAGAAAGCATTCAAACGTTAGAAAACATTTAAAATGCTTGATTGAACATGAAAATTTAATTTAATGAAATATTTCAAATGAGAAACTTACTGCACACGAAGGAATCTTGACCAATAAGCTCTCATTCTTAAGTACTTGGTCACAAGTGGACAGTAATTGGATGCAGCTGTTAATTTCAGATACTACCTTTCTTATTTGTCACAAAACTGTTCAAAATGCATCCACTCCCTACAAACATAATATGTAATTACTTCAATTTTCAGAAAAACGTTTTTTTTTCTTTCTAGTATTTAATTTATTTTTAAAATTTATAAAATATTTGCATAAATATGCTCTTAAATCTGTACTAAAAATTCTGTGTCAATTTGTAAATTATTTTTACTAATTTCTGTCCAATTGCTGTTTTTGTGTAGTAACATATAAACTTAATGAATGCAATAAATGTTACATTTAACCATTTTATAAGTTACATTATTATTTGCATTAATTTTTTCTCAAAACTTAAAATTCAGTCAGTTGGAGCATTTTTGCAAAATGTTTAAACAGGCCCTTGAAGAAGTTTTTGTTCATAATTTTATAATAATTTTGCTCAATTAAAATATTTCATTATATTATTATGAATAATTCACATTAGTTATTATTATTATTATGTCACATTAGTCATTAGGGTGCTCCACAAAAACTGCAAATGAAGTGCACAGAACAAAGTGCTTTAACTTTGCATTTATTAATAAATCTTGTGACAAAATGGAAATATAATTTAGATATAGTTAGAATAATATGCATTTTTCACAATATTATTCCCCAATACTTCATAATGTTCTCCTTTTACGGATTTAGAAATAAATAATTGAAATGCCCTTTCAATATTCTTCAAAAATTCTGTTGATTCACAGTATATGTAGTGAATTCCAGGTTCAAAGAGAACAAGGAGATCAGAAGTAGAAACAGCCATGAGAGTAGAAAAATGTACAATTAGAGAAAGGTATAGAATATTTACAGTGTTTTCTAATGACCAAAATTAAATGTGCAGTTATTATTAGATGATTTAACAAAATATTACACTCTGATTTGCTTTCAAAAAATTTTATATTGCAAAATTGTGAAATTAATTTCAGTTTTTATCACTGTTTGTTCTTCTTACTGCATTAAGAAACCATTTTGATTTCTAAATATCTTTATATATCTAAATAATTCAAAAGTATAAATATTATTGTGTCATATTGTTGCAATGATGCGTTATAGGAAAAAGTAAGAAAATGTTGTATACTTTAGGTCATATAAGGTGCATAATGTTTTAAACTGTACATTTAATGTATTTAAACGAGTTGTAAAGCTAGTAAAATTTAATAAGAATACCTGTAGAATGATGTTTATGATGAAATTGAGAGAATCATCTCCACCATTCTTTAAAAAGGTAGCTTTGACTGACAGTTCAAAATAAAAGGGAAAGTTTATTTGATTTTCTTACCTTGCTGTTGGGATTATAAAAATATTATAAATAAATCATTGTGTTATTTACAAATATTATTTTAGAAAAGTAGTACCCACTTCTTCCTTTTATGGTATTTGGTTAACTATGAAGTCTTCTCAATATATTTGAATGAAGAAGCTTGTTTAATTTTTCAATAGCACTGCATTTCCAAGATTCATATTTCTTGTGTTAAAAGGCTTTCAAATGAAGGTTAGTTTTCTTGTATCTTTCATGAACCTGCAAATCATATTTAGCTATACTGAGCCATTTTTAAAAAAAAATTCTTTTGTACATAGTCAAAAATAGGATCTGTTATAAATGTAACCTGTTTACATGTTGCTGCCAAGTCTATGTCTCACATTGACTAAACCATTAATTCAAAAAAGGCTTTTGAGTAGTTGAATTCAACCTAAAGATCAAAAAATTTGTAAACACCTACATGGTTTCAAATCAGTGGTGTGCACATAGGGGTTCAACCAACGATTTAGTATTACACTAAAACTTTGTAAATAGCTAGTAGTAGATCACTAGCATATCTTTTTATTAGGAAATTGAATTTGAATACTTGGCTTACATTAAAAATTTTTTGAAGAATAAAATATAATTTTTAGGAAACCATAATAATGAATTTCAAGATGATTAAAATTTCAATATTTTACATTTAAGAATTATTTTATATGAAATAATACATTTGTTACGAAACAATAACTTCAATTTACATTTACGTAAAATTGAATTTAATATATCGATTTGAATTTTTTTGTTTTAGGGGGACCAGGAAGTAATGTTATTTCGGTGCATTAGATATTCGTTAGTCTCAAAAACCAATTCATTTTTTTAGATTTATTTTTGATTTGGCATTGAAAAGTTGTTGCTAACGAGAATGAATACATTACTAATTAAAAATAAAATCTTGAAACCCAATATCAAATGCACCGAAAGGACATTACTTTCCGGTCCCCCTAATATATGTATGTTCCAATATGATACTTCCTTTTAAACTTTTTGTCCTCTCCAGAAAATATATTATTTCTTACCTCTTTCAGGAGTATTGTCGATGGAGGATTTTTGCCCCAAGAATTTACACTCCCCAGAACTCTGCTATTTCAAATCAACTGAGAAATTCTTAGCGTCCTCTATATAGATCTGATATAGTTCCATGCAATAATCAATTGTTTGGTCACCTGAAGAAATGCTACCACGTTTTTTATACAGTGAAAAAAAAGCCTTGCTTAGGAATCTGCAGAGAGATTTTAGAAAGGGTATTGAATAATTTAATGCAATGTTTGCTTAGACTACTTAAGGTTTCTTTTCTGAATGACACTGTGTTGCAATTTACTGCTGATATCAATACAAAAACTAACAT